GCAGTGCAACATTCATTTTTGTAATATTCCTGTAATTGTGATAAACCAACAGTTTGGAAAATACATACCTACATATTTCACAAATGATTGAGTACTTAAATGACGATTGCCTCAGCGAGATATTCCGATATCTTAGCATCAAAGAGCAGCTGATTGTGACAGCTGTCAACGAGCGCTTTTGCAGCATAATAATTGAGCGCTTTTGGCGCATTAAATTCAACAAATTCACCACCAAAGGTGATGCGAGTTGTGATGAGCTTAATTTAACGGAATTTCAAATATTCTACCGCCTAATAGCGCCACACATAAAAGAACTAACCGTACATAGCACAGCAAATGTGGCATTCACCAGCTACCTGGGACGCTACACTAAACGTCCAGATCTTGCCTTCTACTTCCATTTCGAGTATCCAGAATTACGTGTGCTACGCTGTTATGATCAACAATTCCACGCTGGCTATCTAACCAGTTTGATACGTAAATGTCCGCAGCTGGAGGTGCTCAAGCTGATCAGTTCGTATGTGACGGGCGAACACTTGGCCGATTTCCAGCAACTACGTGAACTCTATGTGACCAGCAATAAATTGGAACCGAAATATTTTCATGCAATTTTCCATCATAAAAAACTGACACGTATACAGTTAACTGGCGAGTGTACCGTTAAACGTGACATGGATGCTGTGCTTAAGTCGATTTTACCAAGAATATCGGAATTGCGTTACTACGATGAGGAAGAGCATTTAACGACGCAACAGTTCTTTGCGGAATCGACGCCATTATTTCGAAATTTGGAAAAATTATATTGCCAACGTCTGTTGAGCTTCGTCTACTCGCTACAAACGCTGCGGGAGTTACATTTCGAATGTCATGTACAGTTGGATGATTTATTTGCTCTAGTCCATAACAATATACACCTGGAACAACTATATCTGGGGCTGAATTTTAGTGCGCTATCGAAGTCACGCGAATGGGTATGCGAACTATCCGATTTGGTGAGGAAACAAGAGCAACAGCGCAAGCGAGAGCTCACCATACACTTGGAAAGGGCGCAAAAAGCGATACAGCAATTGCAGCAGGTGGTGGAGGTGAGATTGATAAATACATACCATATGTATGTATGTACATTAGGGTGGTCCAAAATAAAGGAAATTCGGGATCTGAACGCTCTCACCCCCTAGGATTGTTCTATGTCGAAAAAATATACCCTAATTTTTTCTTTGAATTAAAAAATATTTAAAGGTCGCTCAAAGCACTCAAAGTTTTCCGTGTATTTTATATGGGAAAAAACAATTTTTCGTAGAAATTGCATGGAATTCGTGAAAATGAATATTTTTCGATCGGAACACCCTGGTTCTGTTCAGGAGACTTCTAGTAATAATACCCATTTGTTTATTTAACCATTTTTAGCACTAACGATTTTTTATTGGTGTCCCCATAGCATTTTTTGGGGTTTTTGGGGATTTTTGGTGGACTTATAAATTATAGTTACTATGAAAAAATGGTTAAATAAACAACTGAGTATTATTATAGGGAATCGCCTGCAGAGAAGCAGAGTTTTCCAGATCGAAAAGTATTGTTTTTTAAGAATTCTATACCATTTCTACGAAAAGTTGTTTTCTCCCCATATAAAATACATGGAAAACTTTGAGCGCTTTGAGCGACCTCCAAAATATTTCTTGATTTTAAAAATTAAAATAAGGGGTATATTTATTTCGGTATAGAACAATCCTAGGGGGTGAGAGCATAAAAATTCCGACTTTACTTTTTCTCATGTATTTTTGGACCACCCTAAGTACATGCGTATGTGCATACAGTATGAGGCTAAAGTCTAACTACACCTAGAGGTTACCTTAATTTTGAAATTTTGCAGTTTTTAAGGTACGCACTGCACTGCTTGAGAGTAAAAGGTAGACATAAACTTTTTGATTATTTTAACTGGTCATCAATTTTTTTAAACTGAACATAAGTTTTGGTTAAATGCAAAACTGGACATAAATTTTTGGCGTTTAAAAACAGGACACACGTTTTTCGTTTTTAACTGGCCATCAATTTTTGAAAGCGACTTCAATTGTTGGTAATTTGAAAACCAGACAAAAATGTTTGGCGTTTAAAAACTGGACATAAATTTTTGCTGATTAGAAAAACTAGACATCAATTTTTGATCAAACTTTGGGCAAACATTTTTGGCTTTTAAAAACTGCACAGTAATTTTCGGTAATTTAGAAATCGGACAT